TATTTTCAAAAAGGACTTTTTTGCAATTTCTGAAAAAGTGTGACAAGTGTCACACTCTCATTGGTCCATTTGTTGACATGTGTGTGGAAACACTTTAAGGCCTTGGATGAGGACATGTGGAGGGTGGAGATTTAATCACTTGTTGGCCTAGGATTGGTGCACTTGTTGGCTTGGATGGTTGACAAGTGTAGGCTTGAGATTTAGCTTAGGATGGAGCCTTGGATTTGTGACAAGTGTAGGCTCACAATTTGATCTTGCATTAGTGTGTATGTGAGAGATAGTGTAAGAGCACATAGTGAGTGGAGGATCTCTATCCCCTCCACTCACATTTCATCTTCATTATTTTCCATTTCCTCCCTCTCTTGTAAAGAAAACCCTAGCCTCCATGGATGGAGCCTAAAGCCTTAAGCTTTGACCTTGATTTTTGAGAGCCTTCCATTGATTTCCAAGCTTGAACTTGGGAATACATTTTGTTCCCCTCGCCTTCCTCTTCATAACCCTAGAAGGGTTTGCTATTTTGTGTTGATTTTGCCTTGGATTCTAGAGAGACACTTCTCTAGTGAGGTAGGGGATGTTATCATTTATCTTCCAAGTAATTTAATTGTTCTTATAGTGATATCCAAGTTATATGCATGTCTTGTATTGAAATAAGAAATAAATGACTAATGGTAACTTGTATGAAATTCACTTTAGACTTGATAAATGGCATGACCATGACTTGATCCTTGTTGTGTATTAATTTGGCATGATTTAAATGAGCTTTTAAATTCAGATGATTAATTGATTTATGTTGATTTAAATTCAAATTAATCATACCATGCTTGTAATTCATTTGTGACTTGAAATAAAGCATGGCCATGAATTACTCCATGTCATATACTAAATTGGAATCATTTGGACAATTCTTGAAATCTAGAAATTACCTAGTTGGTCTACTTAATTTCTACCATGTTAAACTAATGATTTAGTCATGTAATGCATGGAACTTATTGTGTTTTATCACATGTCATGACTTGTTGCTCTACTTGTTGATTTTAGAAACTTGGGATATTATTAAGAATATGACTAGGTTAGGACTTGGTTCTAGTACGGGGGATTGTCCCTCTACAACTATAGTGTGCACTAGGGGAAGGTACCCATGGGTTAATAGCCCTAAAGTGATCTCAAGAGTACGGTTTTAATCCGGGCAATATCCAAGTATCCACTTTGGCTTGATTTCGCATTTAAATTCCAAGTTGTTAACTTTATGACTTCACATCACATTGTGCTATGTTGAAATTTCTAATGTCATTTTGATAGCATGAATTAAATTGTATTGAATTGCAAACTTGGTACAAGATAAACCCATGCATTGCCTACGAGTAAACTTGTTTACTCACCCCTAAGTTACTGGGTGTTTTTCAGGTAAAGAAGCCATAATGTGGGATACACAGCAATCTTAGACTTGCTAGACTACTTGGAGTATTTTTTTGCTATGTTAGAATATGCACATGTTAGCGTATCTTTTTCCATTTTGCTTACTATGTCAAACAATTGTGTTTATTGTTCAAGTCATGTAATATGCACTTAAGTGCACCTTTTGGTACTTATTTTGAATGTGTAATATGTGGCCAAGAGCCAATTTATATTTAGATTCACCTATATGCATTATTCATGGAAAATTACTTTTAAAAGGGACAATAGAGAAACCTAAGGTTTTTAGGTATCATTTTTGCATTGGGAGGTATTTTTAGGTTATAAGTTTTCATTTGAGGTCTATTTACTTTATTCGAGGTGTGGCCAAGGGCCAAACACCTTACCAAATTTTGGATATGCTCTTAGTCTCCATATGTTTTTAGACTAATTCTTGTGAATGGAGGTTTGGAGGGTCACTTTTTGCATTGAGTGTTTACGGAGGCCGTGAACCATTAGCGCATGTCTAAATAGATATAATACATTTGCGTGCATATTTTTTTCAGCCTAGAAGTGCATTTGGGGTCAAATGTATGTTTGATACAAATTCACATTTTTTGCCGTTTTGAGCCTAAACTGAGCGTAAGGGCATTTTGGGGTTTTCACTTGAAAAATAAAGTTTTCTTTTGGTATGGTTGGCTAGAAAACATGATTTTGAGGGTAGTTTCTTCTTTGTGTTTTTTTCAAAAAGGCCCAGAAAGTTCTTAAAATCACATTTCAAACTCAGATTTCTGATAAACTTTTAGCAGTTCGAGTGCTCTAAAGGGGGTTCGAGCGCTCTAACTTTAGGCAAAACTCTCAGGGCAATTTTTGAGTGCTCCAAGCCCTTGCTTGAGCACTTGAGGTACTCTCCATGGGTGTATGTGTGTCTTGGTTCAGCACTGCACCTCCGACTTCAAATCATTATATCTTCTTCGTTTTAACTCCGAATTGGTCCGTTCTTGAGTCTAAATTAATCACATCGAAATAAGCTTTCCAATGGTACTAATTAGAGATTTAGATTCTTCTTGTGGCTTAAGTTATTCAAGTTTTAGTAAGGTATTGTATGTTTTTGGTTCGAACCGGGATAGGGTTTCCCTTCATTCGATTTCAGAACTTGATATTTTTGTAGTCCGGACTCCGAATCATGCGATTCTTGAGTCTATTCTTGTTGATTTTTTCATTGTCTTTCCAATAGTGTGCACGGTGGCACCCATTTCAGTGTGGAATGACCATTTTGCCGCTATGTTCATTCTTATCCAGTTTTGAAACGTTGCTTCCGCATTTACTTCCTTTGGGTTTTGTGACCTCGTTGAGGGTCACATTGGTGTCTTAGAGGAGTGTTGTATCTCTAGAGACCATTGTTCTATCTTTTACTTCCACATTTTAGATCCGTATTGGGTCATCACAGGACACACTGGGTTAAAAAATCCAGGGTCGTCACATATTGTGTTCACCATACCTGGTCAGGATATGTACGTCGTCACTATGCCATGTTCTAATGGGTCTTCTAGCATATACTTGTTTTATGTAGAGGAGGAGATCGAGTAGGAGGTTACTGTATCACTAGACAGCATACCAATTATACAGGAATTTTTGGATGTTTTTCAAGAGATTCCAGGGTTGCCACCTAGTCTAGAGATAGACTTTGTGATTGACTTAGCTCTAGGCACTACGCCTATTGCTATAGCACCATGCAGGATAACACCAGTGGAGATGCGAGAGTTGAGGGATCAGATTTAGCAATTGCTCAGTCAGGGTTTTATTCGTATGAGTACTTCACCTTGGAGAGCACCAGTTTTGTTTATGAAAAAGAAAGATGGTTCACTCCACCTATGTATATATTACAGGGAGTTGAACAAGGCTATTATTCGTAACAAGTACCCGTTACCCAAAATTGATGATCTTTTCGATCAATTGAAGGGAGCTACTTATTTCTCTAAAATTGATCTATGTTCTAGATATCATCAACTTCGGGTTAGGGAGCAAGATGTTTCTAGGACAGTGTTTCTCACTAGATATGGTTTTTATGAGTTTCGTGTTATGCCTTTTGGATTGACCAATGCACCAGCAGTCTTCATAAATTTAATGAACAGAGTCTTTAGGGCTTACTTAGATCAATTTGTCATTGTATTCATTGATAATACTTTGATATATTCTAAGTCGGAGGACGATCATGTTAGACATCTTCGCTGTGACGACCCAGGTTTTTCAACCCTAGAGCGTCAGTGATGAACCGAAAGTTGATCCGATAATGGATCCGAATTACGGAAGTGAAACCAAAAACAAGGTCTATAGGGACATCAATCATCCTTAAGACACCTAAATGACTTTTTATGAAGTCAGGAAACTCAAAGAAATAACCAGAAGTGGAAACTAGAGGAGAAAGGTCAAATGGTACCCTGTGGCACCAAAACTGAAAAAAAGATACTTTGAGCCTCACTTGAATCCCCCATTTCCTGATCAAACTTAATTATATGTTAATGTGTGATGATGTGAACATACACGCAAGTGTAAAATAACATTTTAAACATGTTAAAATCGCCTATGGCCTTATTATAATTCATTTACAACATTTGACATGTCAAACCTCCAAGTTAGAAAAGTTACATTTCATAGGCAAAACTTAAACATGCTAACACTTGCATATGAACAAGAATGCTTCTAAAGAAACTTCCATTTTGTAATTCACCCAAAGCAAATGCAAATCTCCAATCTTGTATCCTGTACCTAAAATATGCCCCAGTAACTTTGGGGTGAGCAACATAAATTTACTCGTAGGAGATGAGCATGCATCGACCTAGCATTTTACAATTATATCACCTTAAGGTGAAACATGTTAAAGGGGCTTATGCCACCTAACGTTTATGTCAAGTGAGACTCAGGGAGCATGCTAAGCTACTCATGCAATTGAAATGAACAACGATATACAAGTATACATGCTCAAGTACACTAAACCGTATTAAAACATGATACACGACATACAAGTATACATGCTCAAGTACCCTAAATCATGTTAAACAAGTTATGCATTGTCTAAGCGTGCATATACAAACATACAATTAACATGGAAAACTCATAAATCAAGTATACAGGCACAAGTATACTAAGTTAAATGAATTATGCATAAGACAAGCATATACGACACAAGTATACATAATGAAGTCCGATTGCACAAATCAAACATACAATGCGTAAGTATACTATCTAGGGTTTAGATACACAACCAAAGATACAAGTTCAAGCATCACTATAAGAAATTAGGCTATTAGGGACAGTCTATTAGTGACGCACTAAAACCCGTCCCTAAAGATCTTATTATTAGGGACGGGCAAATTTTACCAACCCTAATACTAGGCTTTTAGGGACAGTCAGCCTGACATGTCACCAAATCCCTAAAAAGGGTCTCTAAAAAGGTTTTTTTTTGGCATGGTTATTGAGGACTGTCCCCAATGCCCCCCTAAAAAAAAAAGCGCCAAACTTTAGCGCTTCATTTTTCTTTTGTTTTGGCGTAAAAATGAAATAATATAAACTTATTTTGTTTTACAACATGGGGAAGCCCATCGCACTACGTCGTTTTTGATCTAAAAAAGTTAGTATCATTTGCAAACCTCTTCCACCGTCACAACTCACAAAGCTCTTCAGGTCTTCACCTCTTCTGTTCTTCTCTCAACGTCGCCCTGCTCTACGACCTAATAGTAACCTTTGGAAGGTTTCTTCCCATTCCAGCCAAGCCAACCTCCTAATCTCGGTAGAGCCAAGCAAAAGTTCATTCGTACTTTTCCTGTTTGCCATTTTTCATGATCCTCACCCTAGATTTTTCTAAGGTTTCGAAATTACAAAAGTGGGTAAACTACAAATCTGGAAAAGGCTTGTCGTCTGAGTCTTAATCGCTGTGGGAAATCATATAGGTTGTTTGAGCTTTCTATCTTTTTGGTTCAAAGGACTCATCTGCTTCTTCATCTTCTGGGATTTTTGGCTCTAACTTTGCACCTTCGTCCCAGGTATTGCCTTTTTTTAACAATCTGTTAATTATTATTCCTCCTGAATTTTGGAATTTAAAAAAAAAAAAAAAATTATGTTGTTTATCAGATTTAGGGTTGTCATTTCTGATTATTCAAAGGAGCTATTTTATTTCTATTGATAGATTTTAATGGGGGAGTACGCTTCGTTTGGGATACAGTTTTTAGTGGTAAAGTGTTAGATGTGCAAAGAGAAATGGTTTCTCTTCTGTGTCGAGCGATGCCTTGAACCCCCTTCGGGGTTACGTTTCTCTTCTGTAGGTCACCTTTGGCCCAAAGAGGTCCTTTCTCTTCTTTCTTTTGCTTCCTATTATATATTCTCTTTTTTTTGGTTGCTCAGAAATGGTAGGAAAATAAAATTCAGATTTTGGGTTTTTATGTTCTGGGCATAATTCAGGTTGGTATTTAGCTCTGTTAAAGTGAGAAATTTTGTTGATAACTGATAAAATGTGCAGAAAACCAAGTTCGCGTAGAAATTGTTTGGCTTGGTTATTCTGAGCAATCTGCTTGGTTGCTCAGGAAATGTGGGAATTGAGAGTGAAAGTTGAGATTTTAGGTTTTAATGTATGGGGTATAATTCAAGTACATGGCTTATAATTCAAGTATACTGCATAATATTCTGTTTATATTTATCATACGGTTCAAAGAAACAAATGGTGGAATTCAAGTCTTTGGATATTTGCGTGCAAAGTCTTGCAATACTTTTGTATTATCTGATATATTGGATTATTTGGGATTACAAGTTTAGTTAGTTTAATTAGACTCAGGGTTCTCAGAATTTCGTAGTTTTATTCAAATAAATAATGTAGAAACAGCTAACTTGTCTGTGGAATTTGAGGTTTTCATAAAATTTTTAGAAGATGTACTTGTATTTTTTGATTAGAAATGTTGGTTTCAGTGCTGATTTTGGCTCACATGTGAAAATTAGGATTTTGGCTTTTATATATATATATATTTATTTTAGTGAAGAAACATACTTGCGATTGAAATTTGAAAATGTGTTTTTCCTAAAAATCAACTTGTTATGTAAATTCTGGACTTATTGAAACTGCTTTTAGATTAAAAAATAAAATTTATTGACAAACAAGTGATACTGTATGGAAGAATTCATTGGAAACTGAACTTTTCCCTCAGTAGTTGTTTGTTACGTTGCTTTTGATCAATTAACATATATAACATGCAGATGGATGTTGCCCAATTCAGAAAACTCAGTTTTAGCCTCGACTGCGAATGATATGCACTGTGATAAGTACACCCCCATTGATTCTGGAAAGTTGAAGTTCGCAGTTATAGGGCTATCTCAAAGTAAGTTTCAGTCTTTTCATTCGATGCTTCTCATTTGGTAGATCTAAATTTCTTTCTTCAAGGATATTTGATCACTATTAATAATAATAATGATAATAATAAAACCATTTTTAACAATGTATATTTCTGTATAAACTTGAATCTGTTCAGAACTCAACAAACTTGATGGCTAGATGAGTATTGAGCTGACAATATTAGCTTCTCATTCTAAGTTCAACTCAATCCAATTATGATCTGACCCAAAATTGACTAATCCTCGCCAACACCACCCCTGAACCTGTTTTACATCTATAGTTCTCACCTTTATGTTCTATGATCCCCCAAAACCCACGAAGAATCTCAATAGGGAGTTGTTGAGACCTTTATTAGGGACTTTTTTGTGTTACCCAAGTGCAATAACTTTTATGTACAACACTCTTCTCTCTTTGATAAACCCAAACTCTAATTTATGAATCAGGCAGGTAGCCTCATACAGTTATAACCAAATGTTCAAATTGATTAAAATTTATTCATAATCTATCTAATACATCATTAATTGCTTAAGTTTGATTGATTTACTATTGATTAAAAAACTTCACGGCTATAGTAACTGATTTGAAGCATACTTTGGCTGATATTTCTGATTCCATTAGATTTTTGTTACATTACCTGATACCACAATTTAAAAGTATACTTATATTATCCTTTTTTACCTTTGATTTGTAATTATTTTTACATATCCGTACCATTTGTATGCACTTAATGGGTTATGCAATGTTCTTCATTGATGAGTGAAACTTATCTTAAATTTTATTTGGTATGCTGGCTCAGCAAAATATTTGTGTTCCTTCCCACTATGTCCAGAAAATAGGGAATTATATACAAACAGAGTAGCCTAGAATACTGGTGGTCCATGGACAAGTTTGCTAAATGCAAGTATCAAGCAAAACACAGCAGAGTGATGGCATCTTGCCACATATTTTCTTATTTTTATTCTTATAACCAGGGTATCCGGGGCAAAGCCCCGACTAATCCACTCGCGCATGTCCCCTAAGGAATTGTTTGCACCCTGATACTAGATGATGCTTCACATATATTTTCTTGTTATATGTTTTGATATCCTAACAATCTCAAACGATTGGTATCCTAATTAGAGGAATCCAGTCACATTGGCTTACTATAACATTTTTAGGAAGCGGTACAAGCAGTTGAATGGTGAGAAGCAAGATAAAGGGCCACCAAAAAAGTAAACAGGTGATGATATTCTGGAATAACTTAACTGCATACCCGAGGTTAGTTTCAGAAAGGGACCAAATAACAAGAAGCGAACTTGTGAAAAATTTGAACTTAATTGGACAAAGAAGATGATGATGGAGATGACATTCAATATAGTTCAGATGAGGAACCAGAATTGTTGTCCGACGATGATACTGATTTGGATGACATATGAAACTTTGTATTGTTGAGCATATGCCGTATTTTTTTGGAATCATGATTAGTACATTATGTGAACTTTATCTAGAATTGAGTTCCTTTTCTTTTTCAATATATTTACCTTTTAGCATCTGTTGAGTGCTGGAAATTAATTAAGTTCATTTGGTTGTGTGTTGCATTACTTTTCTGATTTATTTAAACTAATCTTAGATCACTTGATTTATTTTCTGTTTATGTTTTGAAGTAACCAATATCAAATGATGACTTATAATGTATTCCGCATATGCTTGTTATATTTAATATTACTATATTAGCTTGTAAACAAAATTATGGACACTTCTAAGGCACCAATGCGTAGAATATTAAGGTCCAGCGTGGCTCAAACTCGAATTGAGACACCATCTACAAGTTCAGCTGCCACACAACCGAGTGGAGAAGTTGATGGTAGTAATTCAATAAGTCAACAACCTATTATGGAAGGTGCTGGTAATACTTTGCAGACGAGGCCACAACCAAGTGGAGGTGATAATCATGCTTCATCATTGATTAACTTACAAGCATTTTTGTAGAATGACTATGTTTTAATTAAGTTGATAATTTTTTTTTCCAGGCCCAGTATGAAAAGGGCGTGGAAAGGCAAAGAATATAGCCCTACACAAAGCTTAGGAACTCTATGGAAAGGATATTCCAATTCCGGTAGAGTTTGGGACAAGTTATGTTAAACCCATTGGCAAAAATCACAATTTATGGACGGCTCAGGTTGGCATGCATGCGAGAGATAAAGAAGCACTATTGAAATATAAAACGTGGAGGGAAATTCCAGATTATGAGAGATAGGTCTGCTATAATGAGTTCTTTTTTTTTTTTTTTTTTTTTTTTTTTTTTTTTTCTATATCATAAGGGTACTATATCATTTTTAATACTTGTTTTGTTGACTTGTTGTTTATTTTTCATATTTTCAGTGCTATTTGTTGTGTGAATTATTGGGCTGTTTTTAACTTAAATTAAATGTTCATTATAAAGGTGACCTTTGGAGTGGATGCACATGACAATGAAACTGATTTCAAGCGAGTAACTAAAGAAATATCTGAACGTTTGAGGAAATATAGATATAAATTGAAGAATCATTTTGACAAGCATCTTCCAATTAAGAATGCACGCTTACATCCTTATGGTATTATTGATATTGATGTTTGGGGAAAAATGTGCGATTGGTGGACGTCACCAGAATTTCAAGTTCGGATTTTTGACCACCTACTTTAAATTATTTACTTGAAATCATTGATTATAATACATTGATTGACTAGCTATTTAGGTTTCTTAACTTGCATTATTGTTTGAATTGCTGTGTAGAAAATAAGTGACAGAAATAAAGTCAACCGTTCGAAGAATGATACTCCACATGTTTCTGGATCGATGTCTTTTGCCAGACGCTATGATGTTTATGTACGTAATATTTAAAATAATAATTATAAATTTTCAATTTATTATCCATCTAAATCATATTTTGTGTTGCAGCTGAAAGAAAGTCAAGAAAGGCAAGAAAGGCAAAACGAAGAAAATGAGGAAGTTAAAAGTCCTGAGGAAGGTCCTGCTATTTGCATGTACAAGGACACGCATTTTAGGGAAGAGACTGGATGGGAAACGAGAGAGCTAAGCAGAACTACGTATGTTTTTTTCCTCCTTTTGTACTTTCTTTTTATTTTTCTTAATGTGTTATTATTTCCATCTTGTTTGATAATAAGATTGTGTGTGTATGTGTAGTAAATTAGTTATAATATTAGTATGTTTAGAAGAGGAGGATGTTTGGAAGAAGTTGGTGATGAGTTGTGTTTATAGATATGTGGGGAAGAAAAATAAAATGTATACGGAGGCACTAGGCAGGGGTAAAAAAAAACATTAATTTTACATGGGCTATATTGCTAGCACAAAATATTTGTATGATACAATGTAACTGGAACATTTGGTTGTTGAGATATCACCATAGGGCATAGTGACCAAAATAAAGTAGACATGACTCATCAATACTTGAATTCTAAGAATGCTAGTTTTCTTTCATAACATAAGTGAAGGAAAAGCAATTAGGCTCACTCATGGTGAGAGTTTTGTCCACTCTGTTTGAGCTCTGGTGTATATATTTTAAATCATTTACTATTTTAATACCCCTCTTTACAATGAACTCCGTCACCTAGACTTATTGGATTTCACAGACCCCTCTTTACAATGATTGTAGATATACAAGTTTGAGTACAATAAATGACATCCCTTAATGGATGAATACACAAGTATATAGATATACAAGTTTGAGTACAATAAATGATTTCACAAACCCCTCTTTATATCTCTCTCAGATATATAGCCATTTTAGCATTTAATGCGCGGGTATGTGGTTGTTGGATCTGTCAGATTTTGAGTCTTTTTGTATTTGCAGTTTGCCACAATAGAGTTTTAGATGGCTACTCCTAGATCCACTTTTTCCACAACTTGTTTTAGAAGGTCAAATCTTCATTTGTAGCAGGCTACTTAGAGTTCAGCTCATATTTTACATATATATACTGGTTTTTGCAAAGTAAATGACTACAAAACCATTTATAGATGGCTAAACTTATGATTCAGAATGATGAATTTCAGTTTTAGATGGCTTGATAATGATCTTTATAATTTGATATTGAAACAAGCCATTTTTACCATTATTGCAACTCTTTTAACACGACATTAGTCCAAATGGTATAAATTTTTCCTCCCAAAGTGAAGATGAGGGTTCGAGCCCATAATGGACAATTCATGAGTGAGCATTTACCTAACCAGAAAAAGAAAAGAAAAAATAAAGTGACAACTTCACTGTTGTTCAGCCTGAGATGCTATATGCAATTTTTGTTTTGAAAGTTAAAAAAGCAACTGACATATATGGGATGGGGACTCGAGCCATTTCGCCACAAACACCAGCACTCATTATCACACCACACCTAATGCTATATGCAATTGATGAAGGTGGTGTCTACTAAGCTAGTAACTGAAGTCAGGTCCAGCCTTCAGTTAGGAAGATTTAAGGGACAACAGAGGGCTTGATAGTTAATAGGACTAGGAAGAATATATATCACTTTTTTGAATTATAATTATTTTTAGTAAATAAAAAAAAAAACTTTCTAAGTAATTTGAATAAATAAAAATAAAAGAAGAAAATAACACATCCAGGGGGATTTCCACGTCACAACATATTCAGAAACATTTAATATTACAACAAATTTCTTCTTGTTGTCCCTGTAGACATGTTTATAGATATTCAAGCATAATAAATATCTTACCAAGATTGCTGGAAGTACAAACTACATTCAGGGAAGGTGTTCACAAAAGTTGAAATGAGTTCTGGTGGCAATGATTGTCCTTGTACCAAAACTTGGTGGTATCTCTCTATTAATGACACTATAATGCTTTGCTGGTTGATTTCTTCCAAATGACCTATATAACCCCATCATACAACAGAAGAAACAAAGGATTCAGCAAAAAGTTACCAACACAAATTCAACAAGACAATAAGTAAATCATCATCCTACATGCCTTATATATTATACATTATACCTTATACTAGAGTTTAGCTTATACCTTATACCTTATACCTTATACATGTTACAGCAAGAAATGGTTTCTCATTTTGATTCCTAAATTATATCATTGTCTTGTTTATATCCTCGGTGTAACTTCGGAGAGTTATTGACATAGTAGCTGTCAAAACAACGAATATTTTAGAATCAATCAATTACAAATTTAATCATGCTACTTGTCAAAAGTTAAGATGTATGCAAATAGACATTAATCATAATAAAGGTGTGCCAATAAATTAGTATGAATAAAGCTTATACAGTGACTCCATATAAGTTAATTATATCCCAAAAATGATGAAACCATTAAATTGATCAGTTTGGGACAAATTGATGAGCCTAAAATAACCTATCACTCATTGCATGGGTCCGAGTTCATTTCATTTGATTTGCTGAGTAAAAGGCTTCCAATGCTGATCCCAAATACTGAAAGTGCATAGGGTTAAAGATAGATCTCAGGCGTAGGCTTTGCTTATGCTCTTGTATGTCCCAATTACACCAGTGTACTGATCTTTACTTACCATAATCTTTGTTGATGCTCCTTATGCACAGTCTGTGCGATAGCAAAGTTTTTCATAGATGAGAAGAGCAGAACTGAATAAGTCAGTGATGTCCTATATATAAGTAAGATCCTTTTTTGACTTTCACTGAAAGAGCTTTAGCTAGCTTTTTTTCTTCCAAAAATGGAAGTGAAGAACGAATCTCTCACTCATTCCTATTCTTGATATAAATACATCAAAAAAAAATTCATCTTGACTTAGTTTATAGTTAATTTTTTATTGAGCTACTGATGTTTAACATTACATTAATCTTAATTTCAGGATGAAATGAAATGGAAGTTTTCACAAGTTTTTCACAATTCTGATGGTACCAATCATATCATAAATGATGTTGAGATAGTGGAAAACCAATTAGGTATTAGAAAGGGATACCGTCGTGGGTTCGGAAATGGTTTTGTAGCTCCAAGCCATCAACGTGCATCCTTATCTTTTGAAGAGGCTTCCAGAAAAAGGGTAAAAAATGTTGAAGAAGATAATGCACAACTTAGGGAGAAAGTTACAAATTTGGAGGAGAAGTTGGATACATTTCAGCACCTCCTTGATCAGCAATAACACCTCCTTGAGCAGCAACAACAACAGCAACAGCAGCTCCAATAGCTCCTTAAGCAGCAACAACAGAGCCAATAACCGCCACCATGATTCCACTAACAGCAGCATGCCCCACCAAGCTGGTATCAGCAACTACCAACATGGTGGCAATTTCAGCACCACCCGTCAGCACCACCACAACAATCACGTGGTTGAACTATAAAGATAATTATTTTAGTAGATATATTTTGGAGCTTTTTGATGGCTAGCTAGCTGATTTCTAACTATTTTGGCAGAGTATTTTTTGCCTGTATTTTCATGATTGCATTCAGTTTAAAATGATGTTTTAATTTATATCAGATGTTTGAGACATACTCCATGCACCGTATTGTGGTGATAATCTATTTTTTTCTTTCTAAAATGATATTGTGGATGAATGTACATTTTACTTTTCATGTTTTGATACATAAGGTGGATGTGGTGTACTTTTAGAAAACAAATCCAGCAGAGCAGATGAATGTACATTTTAGTTTTCATGTTTTGGTATATAAGGTGGATGTGGTGTATTTTTAGAAAACAAATCCAGCAGAGCCAAAAAAAAAAAATAATAATAATAATAATCAACTATTAGGGACAGTTTATAATTGTCACAAATTTAATATTAATAATAATAATAAATCTTATTAGGGACAGTACGAAATGTGACTAATAAATATTATATTAGGGACGGATAAGAAAACTGTCCCAAATACATCAACTATTAGGGACAGTAAATACCGTCCCAAGTAAGTCAAAGGGGGATGGTCTTATTTGGGAAAGTAAGTCTGTCCCTAATAAATGAAAGTGGGACGGGCCTTTTCGGGACAGTAAGTCTGTCCTTAAAGGTTGATTTTTTTAGGGACGGACAATTTTTACCGTCCCTAAAAATTATTTGTCACACAACTATTAGAGACGGTCAAATTTGATCATTAGGGACGGTCTTAGGGTTTTTAGGGACAGATTTGGCCGTCACTAAAAACCTAATTTCTTGTAGTCATAGTACATGAGATCTAAATACATAAGACAAGTATACAGTTTCAGGTATACTAAATAAGATCTTAATACAAGGAGCAAGTATACAGTTTCAAGTATACAAAATACGATTCAAATACCCAAAGTAAGCATCAATTCTCAAGCTACAAGTAATCTATAATCAATAATTTAAATGCGAAATCAAATAGTGGAAAGACTAGGATCCTTGGCTGCAGACCAATCAAGTTATTCCAGGTTACTAGCCCGCAAGATACTACCTAATGCGCACGTGTATAAGTAATTTCGGGTAATTATGACCCACAAGGTACAACCTACTGTGCACTTCATATAACTTAGGAAACTCACGAGTCTGTACTAGGGCCAGATTCTAGCCATCACATGAACATGATCCTTACAAGCCTCCAAAAACAATAAGTTCAAAACTTATGCAAAATCAATAAGTTAAACCAAACTTATACATTTCAAATAATGTTTAGGAATCAATTTACGTCCACAAGTAAGGTTGAATCTACACAAACCATGTCCTAAAATTCAAGTCTAGCTACCATATGACATGTCAAGTCTCCATTATGCAATTTATACACAAAGCAAGAATATTTTACAACAATGGAACTACATTACCATCCTACACCACAAGTACTAAATAAGCTACAATTTAGTAACAAGCTTTCAAGGTAAGCAATTGTAATGTTCTAACAAGCTACATACCTACACAAGATATATTTAAATGAGCTATTCAAGACAATGATATCACCTATCATGCTAAGTCAAATTGCCATCTTTAGAAGCTACAAGTAGTAATTCCACAACAAGTTAGTAGCATGCTCACAAGGTAATTAAACGGACTACATTTCAAGGAATTATCAACCTATTACATCCAATATCAATTTAAGTGACTAACACACTTAAAACAAAGTTAATTAAGCTAATTAATTAATTTTTCTCTAGATTTTCAAACATATCCAAATATCCTCAATTTAACATATGTTAAAGAACTCACCAAGGCCTACTTTAATATCACATTACAAGTTGATTTCATGCTTGATACAACTATGTGAATTAATCTTTTACAAAAGATAAATATTAAATAAGTTTTGCAATTCTTATTCAAATACCCCAAATTTAATATATGTTACACAACTCACCAAGGCCTAATTTACTAGCATACCACAATTTAATTCTAAACTATATACCATCATTAGAATGAAATCCTAAACAAAGAAAATAAATTAAATTCTAAAAACTTGAACAAGGCATGATCATAAGTTGTATATGCTTATAAAACAATCAATACAATAATAATATAAACCTAAGACATCCCCTACCTCAATTTGAGATGAAAATCTCGAAAGCCCACCGAAATAAATGTGCTCCAAATCCGATGATACCGAAGGGTTTTGTCGGGCACAACATGATCTACATGAACCCCCAAGAAGTCCCATCAAAAGCACAACTTGACTTCAAACCCGAACTCAAGAAATAGTCAGAAATGAATTCTAATAAGGGGGAAAGGTAAAGCACGTCGAGGGGAACAACAAACGTTAAGGCCGAAGACTTTTCACTAAGGAAATCAAGTGGAGGAGAAGAAGAAAAGGTGGCAACCCCATGGGCATCCATGGCTGCCGGCCAAGAGAGGAAGTAGAAGAAGAAAATCTGATTTTTCTTCTTTAAGTCCCTTATTTATAGAAAATCTTAAAAAGTGCCCCGAAAGGGTCCCGCCGGGTCCGAAAAAGTGAAATTTGAGCAAACGCGCTTAAAAGGCAAAACTCCGTGAACAAAAAAGATTAAAAAATGAGAAAATATGAACAACGGAAGAAACGGCATCGAAAACCAGGTCCTGAGCAGAAAAATATGCCCCGAACAAGTTCGGCGACAACCGGGTCCAGAAACCCTGAAATTGGAGAAAAATGACCAGAAGGAAATTCTATGAGGACATGACTCGACGAAATGTGAAAATGAATCCCGTATGAGGATCCAGGCTCCAGACGAGGTGTTTTGCAATAACTTTCGTTAATTGCACAATGGCCCCTCCAAAAAGTGAAAACTGCACAATTGCCCTAGAATGAAAATATCTTCCATAAATATTTTCTTAAAAACCCCTGAAATAAAATATCTTCAAAAGATATTTATGAAAAATACCCAAGAAAAGAAAAAGATTCTGAAAAACTGTCCATCCATACCCCTATGGACACCGAGAGCAACCAGAGTACTTTTTTTCAAAAGTAAAGATACGTATTTCGTGGAAACCACTTAGAATGAAGATACGTGAAGTCAAAAACTAACTCCGAACACAAGGAGTGAGGTTAGGCCAACAAAGTGTCAAACGGGGAAAAGACAAAATAGGGAAGAAGACAAAACAGGAAAAATGACGAAAAGTGAATAGTGTCGAAAAACGAAAAATGTGGAAATGACTCTGTCCTCAAAGGAAGTTGTCAATCCAAAGGAAAGAGTCTCAAAAACCATTTCTGAGCACTCGAGATGACACTAAATGACAAGAAACTAAACTCAGAAAAGAAATTTCAATGAAAAAATTCATCTGCGAAATTCTGAGGAAAAAGAAAATGAAGGAAATGACCGGGTCATTATAACCTACCCTCCTTAAAGTGATTTCGTCCCCGAAATTAGGAACATTCCCAGAAAAACCGAACAAGGATCGTACACAAGGTCACACCAAGGAACAGATCATAAAGTACCCAAAGACAACTCCAAGGGTCTCAAGATCAACGAAGAGACACGAAACCGCAACTAGTGAGATACCTCTTCAACAAATTGACATAGTAACCCAATGTCAACCACCCCAAGGAGATCAAGGAAACTACACATGAAACAAGGAATACAACCAGAAGCAACATGGAAGCACGAATACTGACTAGAACCCGCCCACAACGTACCCAAGGTGCGGTAGCATCGATAGCATCAAGCGCCCGCCCACCCTTACATTATTAGCTAGGTAATGCAAGGTAGCATCGACGACAACTAGCACTCGCCCACTACACATAACTTGCACGGTAGCATGACAGTATAAAGCCCTAATTCATCACCTACCCCTAACAAGCTTACCCGTGAAACCTATCGATATAAATGACATCAATGTCAAACAATCATTACCAAAAGCACCACGAAAACTAGGCATTTTGTGAAAGTTGAGATATGGTCCAAAGATGTCCGGCCAGACCATCCTGGTCAATCCCAAACTCTGACAACAATACCATAGGTACCGCTACACTTAAGGCCTCAAATCCTCAATACTAGAAAACTGACAATCCCAAGTCTCAAAACACCGTTGTCAACCACATCAGTCATGAATCCAAAGCCTGACAAGTCTATGCCCTTAAGCCAAGGGATCGGATTTTACAAAATCAAATAACATCACCATCGTCCTAGTCACAACGACTCCCGACAAGACAATGCACCCAAGAACCTCCATGTCATCCTAAAGCTAACCTACTATAAGGCTACGCCTATAAATCTAGACATCAGATCAATCTCACATACACAATCCCGACAACCAAGGTCACACAACCCCCAGCACAGTGCAGAATGATAAAAGAAATTAACCAATAAAGCAATTAGTCATGAAAAACATATATATATATATATATATATATATATATATATATATCTATCTATGCAAGTATACTAAGAAATGTCAAAACAGAAACGCAAGATATATATATGTACAAGTATACACTCCTAAGTATACTAAGCAATCGAAACGAAATGAAATAAACAACGTGCAAGCATACTAGGTATAAGTATACTAAACGTAACTGAAAATTTATGCATCAAACAACTAAGCACATAGTGTACAAGGGAAATCAAATATGCTACCTATCACGTAAGGGTCAAGCATCAGAGACACGCTACACATCACCTATGATGATAGCATGACAAACAGATATAGTAAATGGAAAACATACCATCTATACCAGCACATAGCCATCAAATAGTCACATCCCCTAACATGTTTCTAAGGCATGCTCAAAACAACAAGGTATATAAACATGTAGGAATGACTATGCAATTAACAATCCCGCAAAATCATAAACAAGAAGGGATTAAATGCCTTTTAAAAGGACAAACTTACAAAGAGGAATCTGAAAACCAGGATGAGTCCGATCTCTCTTCGTGAGGAAAGGAATCATCTCCCTAAAATGAACACTAAGGTTCCTAAAACAAAGAGTTTGCAAGTCTTTCCCAAGACTGGCTTAAACACAAGGTGGAATCCTAACATCACACAAAACAAATAATGAGGAAATGGGTAGCCCCAATATTAACCATTACGAGACACCAACAAGAGAACTCAACTCAAGATAGTGACGAGTTCGATGAGAACTATCAAAACCTTAAACGCAACCCTAAGTCTTCTATGATGAGGAAGAGTAATTAATTGCACTAATGCAATTAATTATAGAGAAACACTCACACCCCATCCTTA